CTGGAGAAAATGGCTGCTTTGGAAGGTGGACTCTGTGGCATTATACCCAGCCGAGGCCTCTCCCTTCCCCAAACCTCAAAACCTCTAGGGATTCCCCAGGCTGGCCCTGGCAGCCCTTGTGAGGCCAGGCCCCAAGGCTCCCTCCGAGGCCTCTCCCTTCCGCAAACCCAGCCCTCCTTAGAGTCCACCTCAAAACCTCTAGGGACTCCCCAGGCTGGCCCTGGCAGCCCTTGTGAGGCCAGGCCCCAAGGCTCCCTTCCTCCCTCCCTGAAAGGCCAAAAGAGGCCTGGAAAGGGCCCTTCCCCCACCCTTTGACTCACAGAGCCAGTTAAAAGCCTCCCCCCCCCTCAAAAGTTCTGATCTCTCTCACACCGTTGATGCCTGGAGTTAGATCCCTGCAGAGGCCATTTCAAAAGGTATTGGGGGGAATTCAGCCGTCCCTGGCCTGGAGGGATTTTTTTTTTGATTTTTCTGCAGACACAGGTAGTCTACTGACTATGTAGGAAAAGCTGTTGGGGCAGAGTGAGCTTCCTGTTAGTGGAAATAAGTATCCGCACATGGCGCCCTCTGTTGGAAATTAGAATATAAGATGGAGCAGGAAACAGCAGTCTATGGCCTGGATCTACCAGAGCCACCTACAAAGTGGAACTATAAGGACCCAGAGAGCCCTTGCTCCCATTCTCAGGCATTGAAACCTAAGACCCCCTAAGAGCATCACAGGGTTCTGGACCTTGGCTTGAGGTTTTTCAACCTCTGGGTTTGTTTATTACCAGAGCCACCTACAAAGTGGAACTATAAGGACCCAGAGAGCCCTTGCTCCCATTCTCAGGCATTGAAACCTATGACCCCCTAAGAGCATCACAGGGTTCTGGACCTTGGCTTGAGGTTTTTCAACCTCTGGGTTTGTTTCTGAGGGAATGTGCACACATACAACATGTAACTCCTGATATACAAAAGGTAAAATATATATTTAAGTTTATTAAATTGTTCAAATTATAATGAGGGTATGCCAAGCAGGAACCACTCTTTAAGCCACTCTTTGAGCACAGTAATGGCACGAAGAAAAAGAACACTAAACTATATGTGGCTAGAGGCTAACGGAGATGAGCACCGCACCCCTAGAATCGGATTCGACTGGCTTTCTGGCTTTTGAGCTTTTACCTTTTAACTCACTTCTCTGATATAGCTCCGTGGCTTGATGTTCTTACTCACAGGCTTAAGAAAGCCATGCAAAGTAGTCATAGCAGGGAAGCAGCAACCTCTTCTCACATGCTGGCAGAATAATAGAGCGAGCCATATTTTCAGGCATCCTTGCATCAGCCTATGAGCCTCCTTGGCCACTCAGGGCCCACTTAGCTAATTGGCGCTGCTAGCAGGAGAAAATCAGGGAGACTCCCAAGGACGGTTCTCTTGGCAGCCAAAGCCCGCAGGTAGATATGAGTATAAAAGGCGAGCACCTTGCTTTGGATAGCAGGCTGGACAAGGGCCTGCCAGAACATACAGCCTAAACCAAACCGATGAAACCGAACAACATACAGGCCTAAAGGGCGCCTATTCCTTACAGGAACTTTCTCACTTCACTTTTTTGGCTGCAGCCCAAAACAGTCCCTGAAATGCTGTTCTTGCCTACAGTGGATCCAAGCCCTGGGAAGGCCTCCCAGAACTGCCCTAAAGTTACACCAGCAAAATCTACACTGTAGCATGAAGGCACCCATGCAACAGAAAAAGCAGGGGCCCCCATAGCCAGAGTCTTGACCCCAAGCCCCCAAGGAGCACATGATGCCACCTATGGCCACAGCCAACAGCAGTGGCCAGACCCCCTCTCCTGCACCCAGTCACAGCCCTAACTCACACTACAGAAACCTTAGCCAGGAAGCCCCATTGCTCAGTTGATAGGGTGGGCAGCACTGTAGGTGTGAACCCACTCTTTCACTGTATGAACAGAATTCAGGGTTGGTGAGATTTTTAAATATCAAAAAGAAAAAAATTGTTAACAATGGGTTAGGAGGCCTAATCTATGACATTCCTATGCAAGTACTTTCAGTTTTGTATCAAAATGTCACCACCTAAGCCTCTCACACAGTGTGGATAAAAATAATTTTTGAAACATAATTTAAATGCATTTTTAAAAATGCAAATACGGTGCCTAGCAAATATTTAAAGTTTTCGCCACATTCAAGAGATACACTTGAATGTAGTGTTTAAAATGAAACCTGAACTTTATGCAAACAATCTCTTACAACGGAACCTATGACTCTTATGAAAGGCTGCTTTCTTTGTAAAGAGCTCTGTGGGCAAAACCACTTTGTCGTCAGGCATTGCGACAGTTTGAATCTTTATTCCTGGGGAGTCACAATCACAGACTGGCACGGTCCATCTCAGTGTCCTTTGACTCCTATTTTACACCTATTAACTCAGTGCTTTCACTATAAATGCTTCTAACCACCAAAGATTGTAGGGAACTAACTTTCATCTTGTGGAACTCACTTGCACACCCTGCTTCTGGTTTAGTTATTTATTTTTGTGGAGTGCAGCAAAGCATGGAAATTATATGACAAAGGAAAAAAGGGCAGACTTTAGGGCTTACTTGCGCAAGTCAAAGAATGACTGGACTGAGCCCCCAGGTGGCAAAATGGATCGCATTACTTCAGAAAGCATGTGATGGGTAACTCCCTACAAATAGAAAACTAACACAAGGAGGAGAAAGGTCCTATACCCACTCTCTCTTTGTTCCGCTGGCTTTCTATTCCCACAGAACTTAACCCAGGTGAGTATTCCAAAATGTGGTCTTAGATGATCCTTCCTTCACTCATAGTCTGAAGTGATGCTCTCCATTCTCCCAACCTCAATCCTACCTCCTTCTCCTGCAGGTATAACCTGGATCCGGGCTGGGAGAGGTTCTATGGACCCACTGGAATAGCATTTTAGGGGGTATTTGGGACTGCAGATTGAAAACCCTTCTATTCATGTGCTCTGATGGATCCAAGCACAACAACAGAAAGGAATACAAGAAAAGCAGCACTTTCTAGCACTGAATAGAAGTTCTCCAGAGATACCTTTGTTTGGACCATAAACACTAAGTTTCAGATACATGCAATCCTAGTCCTATTATATTGCTTATCAGATGTTTTGTGCTCCTGACTGCCATGTAATCTGCCTTGAGTCTCAGTGAACTGCGTCTTGTTCACATCCACCCATTTTCCCAATCTGTATTTTATCTCTATCCCACCTGATTTGTTGTCATCTGCAAATTTAATGAGCAGTCCCTTCATGTCCTCATCTAGATTGTTGATAAGAATATTAAAAAGCTCTGGGCCCAAAACCAAGTTCTTGTTTTTTTTCTAGGCCAGTTGTGTGGGGGGGGGGGGGGGGAGAGATTATAACTTTGAGACTGCCCAGTTTAACTGATACTGTAGCAATTCATTTTAGGAAAAAAACAAATGCATTGTTAGAAATGGAAAAATTTTCCACCTAGAACTGTACAGCTACTGGGGAATTTCCTGAGCCCAGGAGATTTACCTGGGAACCCAGGCCCCACCAGAGTTCAAGTGGGTTAGATAGAGGCCTGCTAGAAACCGAATCCTTTTCAAGGGAAAAAAAGTCAGTTGTGTCACACTAAAGCTATTTATTGAACTTCAGAAGCATGCAGAAGAAAACTCTTAAAGCATGAAAACCCAATTTCTCAGATAGAGTACACTGACCCACACAGCCATGCACCCAAACATAGAAAACGTAGACAATATATACCTTTCTGCAGTCTACAGAATCAAATGTAGGTGTCGATTAGGAATGTGACAAGCTTGACAAGACCCAGCCCCACATACATTGGCAGTATGAACTTTGCCCAAAGTTAGCTTCTTATCTGTGAGGTCAAGATGCTCCACACAACCTCTCCACCAAGGGTAAGGGGCTATGGAGCCTCACCAACTGATAAGCTATATGTTTAGACTCGGGCCTGGTACTCCTGTCTCTTGTAATATAAACTATCTCATATTTCAAGGGCATGCGCAGGGCAATGCTTATTTGAAGGAATATAGTGCTAGCTAGGCTGCAAAGCCTTGTGGGATAGTGAACCAAAGAGTAGATGTTAGGGCCAGATCAAAATGATGCTCAAAAAGGCCAAGTCTCATTTAGGGATAAATTCTGCAACCGTAGTACTACGGAAAAATTTTCTAGGCCAGAACAGCAGTTTAAATTGAGATTACAATACCATTCCCAAACATCAAAACCCTAATGTGGCTGCTTCAATCACACACATTCCAAAGATGTGCCCACTCACAGTGGAGGGCTGTTCAGAAGCAGCAGGGAACCAATCAGAGACATAGCAGTACACTGTGAAGATTACGGGAGCCTTTAACTACAGTCATTTCTCATGGTCTAGTAGGAGTTCTATTACACAGAGCACAGCCTGGAAATTGCTCAAGTGGCCACTGCATCACTGTTGTAATGTGCACGCCTGGACTGTATTACTCATTTGCACATGCTTTAAAAACTCAGATTCCATGCTTATCTACCTCAGCTGTAGTAAATGCACACTCCATGTACACATGCAGGAATACAAGGGAGCACAATACCTTCTGCGCGCACACTCAAAATAGTGACTAACTCCAAATAACTTTGAAGGAAAAAAGACAGCAGCATCTTTAAAGAAACAAAGCAAGTGGATCAGACATTTGTAAATGGCTCTGAGACAGTGACAAGTGGCACAACAGTGACAGTGGACAAGTATCTTCATACAGGTGCTGCACAGGGACCTACTTTCCAAACTATTACCATAATGTTGTTGGTGGTTCAGAAGATGATTACTAAATGTGAGATGTGCTTTTCCCTTTCAATAATAAGAACCATACTTCAGATTCAGAAGCATTTTGGCAGGATCTTGAGCACAACCCAAAAGCACTCAAGTGGACACATCAATAAACTCTGAATCCTTAAGCTGAAAGCCAAAACAGAAGAAATATGAAAACATCCTTTGTTCCCAGTAATGATGGGAGCTACCTCTTATATGCAGAAAAATTATGCTTCTTTACCAACTTGGTGTAAAGTACACCCATTCAAATAACCTAACAGAATTAAAGAGGGGCACAACAGAAGACGTGCCAGCTAAACTCAGATCCATAGAACCAGCTTTATATCATAAAACAGTCAGGGTTATAAACGTGATCAGCCAATGTGTTGGTGACCTAGCTATGACTCAGCAGTCACTTCCTGGCTGGGGATTAACATCATTTCTGGAATGGAAGTCACTAGAAAGAGCAAAAGGAAAGAGGATCAGTCTAGAAGGAACCCCTCCCACCATAAATGAAACCATGGGCAAAGGCAGAGGAGGAAGAGAAGTTACGCAGGAAGCAAAAAAAAAAGCTGTTAAAAGAAACAGAAAAGCAAATCCATATACTCTATTTCAGACATCCATCCACAGCTCAGTGATACAGCATCTGATTTGCAGGCAGCTTCAATTCCCTCTATCTCCAGGTGAGAGACCAGGTTGTAGATGATGGGAAAGACTCCCACCTGAAACCTTGGACAGCTGCTGCCAACCAGAGCTGACACTGCTGCCCTTACTATGATTGCCCTGATTCAGCAGAGAGCAGCTTCATACATTCAAGAGAACTACACAAATGGGATCATACAAAACCCTGTTCTTATGTTCTTTCACCTGAGTAACAATACCGACGTCCCTGTATCACATTTTTTAAAAAACAGTGTAGCTCTGGCAGGACACCAAGAGCCCTGGTTAGCATAAGAAGAGCCCTGATGGGTTACACCACCGGTCCATCTAGCCCAGCTTTCTGTTTCGAATAATGGAAAACAATTTGTCCCGGAAAGGCAACAAACAGGGCGCGGAGACCCACGCTTTCCCGCAAGCAAAGCATGAAAAAACGCACCCCTCCCCCGTCGTTCCTTCCAGATATCTGCTAATATGCAGAGGGAACCTGCCCCTGAACACAGAGGCTCCACTTGCGGTCTGGAAAAGCATACTATCACCCCATGGAAGTGGGCCACAGAATCTTCAAGAGAATGCCCCACAAGCAGGCCCCGAGACTCCCACCGGGGTCGAAATAAAGCCCCCCCCCCCCCAACAAGGTTTCACCAATTTCGTGGCCCAACCCGGAAGCCAGAGCTGGCTGGGCCTCCTCAGCCCAGGCAACGCCGTTCCCAGGGACTTACCCAGCTAGCCAGAGAACAGACGCCCAGCACGGCCCCCATGGCGGCAGCGCGGCCCCTCCGCTCCCGGGAGCGCTTCCACCTCGCCCCCGCTTCCCGCCTCCACGCCGCAGCCGCCTCGCGCCGTCGCGGCGATTGTTGTTATTGTTCGTTCCCACCCTTGAGCGCCGCGCTCTGGCAGATGGCCAAGGCCGATCATGAGGGGGTGGAGTCTAGAGGGCCGGCCAATGAGGCGGCGCGGCCAAATACGCCACGAGGTGGGACGGAGGAAGAGTGGAGCTGGGGGCGGCGGCGAGATGATGGTTAGTGACGTCATTGAGGCAGAAGGTGCTGATTGGGCAGGAACTTTTTTAAGTGGCTGTGCCTTAATCGTTTATGAGGGAGGTTGGTGGCATGTTTAGAGGTGGCATGTTTAGAGGAGGGTTTCCGGTCCTCCGGGGGCTAGGCGTCACGGGGCTCTGCCGGGAGCGGTTGCCATAGCAACAGTCCTACCGCAGTTCCAATGGGAACGCGGACTGTGCTTATGTCATTGCTTGACAGCTGTTCCTTTATTTGCATGTCAATGTCCCGTATTTCCCCCCCTTTTTTCATGAGTTCATTAAACTTAATTAATTCTTTTAAGAAACCTTGTGCCTCCAAGAGTGAGGTTTCTCCCACCCCCTTTACAAAAAAGTATGGGAGATGAGAACTAACAATATTGATTGAAATTGAATAATAGAATATAGCAGTAAAAAAAAATTAAATTGCATAATCAGTAGTGAAATTGTTCCTTCTCTTCCGCTAGTGTGTTATAACATGTTTTTTAAAGTAGTGAGCAGTGTTAAGTTTAAGAAAGGCTGCTTGATAGTTACCCTCGGATCTGGAACCTGTTTTCTCCAATCTGAAAATGGAGGTCGGGGCTGGCTGAGATTCGGGAAGGGGGTTCCGTGGGGGGGACTATACAGGGTGTCAAGAAGTAAAAACTGCCCTCTTCATGTTCCAGGGGCCAGGGCCAGGCGGAAGTTAAACCTAGTTTCAAGTTAAGATGCCTTTTGAGTGGGAAAATGTTGTTGTTGTTCCAAGTATAGAGCTGGTTTTAAACTGTTGGTCATTGTAAATACCAAACAAATGTATTTCAGGATTCTAGAATGATGAGTCTGAGCGCATAAAGAAATTCAATGTACAGGACCACACACTGAAAATAAGTACTATAATGGACTGTATGGATATGGTAATTCATTTATTTGTGCATGTTGAGATTATAGTTGCTGTTGAGATTTTTTTAAATTGTGCAGATCTTTGTGACATCCCTGTTCCTCCACAAATCCAGACATTTTCTTCTAATTCTTTTAACAGACTAGCGTCAAAGGAAGGCAAAGATCAACTTTAAATATTTATGGAATTTCAGCAATATAAGCAACCAATTCATGGCCTTCTTTTAACTCAGTCTCATGTATGTTTCTTGAGCTGTAAGTACAAAGCTAACTGTATATGCTTACATTCACCTCTGCCCCTCCTACCCTTCTCTGTGGATTTTATTTTGTAAGATTCTTGGGGAAGGGTCCTATCTTCTTCCTTTTTTGGCATATTAAAGGTTGTAAAACACCATGTATAATTCTGATGCTGTATAAATTAATATTAATTTTAGGAGCAAGTATGGAGTACTGATTTGAGTACGGACTAGGGATAGGGAAAGTTGGGCTCAAATCCCTCTTATGTCATGAAGCTGACTGAGTGACCTCAGGTCATTCTGTCACAGTGAGGCCTATATGACATGTTGTTGGGAGGATAACATGGGAAACCATGTGTACTATTTTCGTTTCATTGGAGAAAAGTGCACTAAAAGTGTAATAATCCATAAAGTTTCTCTGCGTCCAACTGAATTTACTCATAAGTATGTCTAGGACTGCAATCCCAGAGACATATGATGAGATGATACTCCCATTATCATGTCACTGTGCTATTATTATCTGGGCAGTTGGGAAACATTATCAGTATGTCTACATTATTATTACATAGTCACCATGATTTCCTTGTGACATCATGTTTTTAATACTTTACTTCCGTTTAGAAGGTCATTTGAAGTAATGCTATGTTTTGTTATGAATAGCACTATGAACAATGGGAACGTATCAGTCATATGTTTTTTTTAATAATAGGTTTTTATTGATTTTCAAACGTTAATAACACAAACAAAACAAATACAAACATATACACCCAGCACCCACATAAAATTGAAACTAGATTACATGCAACCTCAATAATAATGACAACAAACTTTAACTGACCTTAAAGGAACAAGAAATAAATTGCTATTTGGCTATATTCTTACTTCAGAGTTGCCTTTTACTTCCTTCTATATCATATTTCCCTAAATTATAATCAAGCCTTAATAATCCTTCTGATTTATCCGCTTTATCATTTAAATTCATCAAACCAAATCCATCTTAAACCCGGAGAAACTTTCCTTAATACATAGCCACCTCTTATTTTCACAATATATTCAAAAAGAAAAAAAAATATATAGACGTTACATAAGTTCATAATCTTGTTCTCCCATAGTAGTCCATTTCTTTTATGCATAGCATCTTTTTGAATTTCATTTTCTCTGCTTTCAATCTTGTGGCGATAGTCTTTGTACTCCTTGTCTTTTCGGTAGTGACCTGTGTCCCAGTAAAGTTGATTAGTGTTGAAATCTGCTCTTTTCATTAAGTCTTTTTTCTTTTTTGACCTCTTTCCTTTCTCTATTTTTTTTCCGTGGGGCTGATTTGGTCGAAAGGTTTTGTCTTCTCCTCCTGTTCTCCTCTTTTCTCCTTCTTCCCTCCTAGGCTCTGAGTCACCTTCGCAGATCGTTTCTCGCGTCGGTGAATAGCAAATTGCATACAGCCTTCTCTCTTGCTTAGCTGATTGCAATTCACATTTCTCCTGGCTCCCATTAACTTGTTGTATATTACTGTCCTCCTTATCAGCTGGGCATCGTGCATTTTCCCATAATTTGTCCCATGCATGATTAAGTGAATCTTTTAGCTCTTCTTGCAACCTTTTTTAAAATTGCTCAGATCTAAGTTCAGCCAATATCGCCTCCCGTACTTCTTTACACAGCTCGGCTGTATCCATTTTAGTCCCGTTTAAACCAAACAGAGGCAACCTTTGCAGGTCCTCGTAATCCATTTGCATTATTTTAAAGAGTGGTGTTAGTTCAGGTAGACACAATTTCTCACCCCAGTCAATGTGTTCAATCTGTAATCCCGAAGAAAGAAAAAACTTTTTCTGGCCGCTTTTCTTGCCGATGAGGAAAGTCCCGTGGGGGATGACTCATTTCAGCTTTCAATTCGACCCGCTTTGAGTTGTGAGCTTCAAGTATCCTTCGCGTACATACAACACGAACATAAAAAGTGTTCTTGAAACCAAAATAGAAATAAAAATAGTGATTTAAAAGCACGGATGGCCGCTGCTAAGCAGGAAAACATGGACGCCATGTTCCTGCGCTGCCCATCGCTCCCGCATCAAGACGTGCCGGTTCACCCCCCCGTCCTTGCCAGGGAAAAAAGGGGGGGCCAACTAAGCCTCCTACCTTGGGCTTCCTCCAGGAGACCCAAGCGGGGGTTCCCCGAATTCGGGCCCCCCCGAAAGAGCGCATAAGAGTTAGGCATCTCCCGGAGCTCCGAGAGGAACGCCCTGGCGCAGCGCCGTTTCCGCCGGAAGTCCCAACCCTATCAGTCATATGTTGTGGGTTTTACAACAGAATTTTGTCTGGCCTAGATGAATGAACTCAAAATTCATTTTCATTGTCTTTTTCTTTGTGTACTATTTAGAACATAAATATTATTTCATTGTCAGAATTAATATATTCAATTGTGTTCTCTCATGTGGAGAAGTCTGAGTTCTGCCAGAACTCTGAAAACACAGCCTATACAGAATTGGACCGTACTACAATCTACGATTAATGGAGGTTAGTGTAGGGAGAATTGTTAAGAACTCCGCTTCTTAGGGCTCCCCCTTAAAGCTCGGTTCTTTCTCCACTCTTTGGCCACTTACCCAGGCACTTATAACCCTGAGAAATGCTTGCTACTCTATGCAAAAAAACAACAACAACCCATCAAAACTACAGCTCACAACAACACAATGTTCTTTTCTTGTTTCCTTTATTAAGTACACACAACTACGCTGAGAGCCAAAGCAGCTCTCTGCCGAAAACGTATACCATAGCTTAACCCTACCAATAGCTAAAGATAAGATTCAAAGAAATTAGCAAAGACAAAGTTTCCCCCCAACAAGCGAGAATTCTCTGGCTGGCAAATGCACCTCTCAGGAGCATAAACTCTCTCTGAAATTTTACACTGCAGCAGAGAGCCCTTGGAAAGATGCATCTCTTATTGCAAAGACATCAATGATTTTGAAAGTGGATTGTACCTCTAAATTGCGTCTATCAATGTTCCCTTTGATAAAAGGTGGGTCTTCTGTGCTAAGGATGTTCCCAAACATTCTTACAATTTACAGTGTCAAAATATTTGGACATTAGGTAACATAAATCCACATTGAGGGTTTACATTTCAAACACAACTCAGAGTCTCTCTTTTAACTTCATAGCTTTTTGTTACACTAATGAGATAAGCCAGACCTCTGTCTTTATCTTCTTCCCAGGCACAGGGAGTAAGAACAATTTGCATTCCGCTATCTCCAGGGCTAATTGAATTGCTCAGACCAAATGCCGGCCTCTTTTATGTGTATATTACCTCCTTCCTTACACCTTTTGATCTGACCAACTTTCCAAGGGAAAATGTCAGTTACCTGCTTCTACGAAGGAGGGTGAAATGTCTTCTGGGTGTTTGGTTCACTTAATACAACAGATACAATTTTCTGTCCCAAATTAAACATTCTCACAACAGTTAGAAGGAAACCTGGAGCACAACAACAGACATCTCCCCCCAGTGTTCAGACTACAGTATAAATCATAGTAATGCAGTCCTCAAAAATATTTTTTTAAGTATTTGTATTAGAACTTACCAAATAATGCAAAATATTTTAGTTGATCCTTATCCAAAGTAGTACATGACTTTCATTTGGGATTTTATTTTGAACAAGTATGGCTGCCTGCAATTTCTATTGGAAATGTAGTAAAGTTGTATAGATGTCATAGTATGATGTCAACTTAAAGTAAGGTTTTGTTTAATGCACCCTAACTG